AAAGGCTAGCTTATAATAGGATAGAAATAGGGTACATTACTTCCAGACCAGAAGTGGCTGAAATAATGGAATTTAAAAAGATAATCCAAGGTGGTAGCAGTAGAGAAAAAACAAATTTAAACATAGTGGTAATCATAGATGTAACAGGAGTCAATTCTAGGATCAAAGACAGTGTTAGATTGAGTTGGGATAAAAAAAGATACAGAAAGATTTAAAATAAAAGTTGGAAAAAGATAAACTGGGAAAATACTACAAGAAATGTCATATAGCTATGCTAGTGTCACATAAAGTAGACTTTCTGGCAAAGAGCAAACACATAAATGAAGGGGGTTACTATGTAGGAAGAAAAGTTTTATTGGAATCTGTAAAAACTTTCTATAACCCAAAGGAAAAGCAGCCCAGCAGAAAAATGGGAATGGGTGCGAACAGGCAGTTCTCAGAAGGGGCTGATGAACGCAAACATGATCACTCTCGCAAGCAATCAGGAAATGTGGATCAAAACCATGATGTACGATTTCACCCTGACCAGGTGGGCACATACCAGGGGCTGACGGTGTGGCTCAGGGGGGCTGGAGTCTGTTGGGCACATAAATTGGTACATCCACTTGGGAGAACAGTGTGACTGTATCCAGTGAGTTGGAGATGCTCATCCTTATGTCCCATATCTCTAACGTGTGGCTGTATTTCCTAGAGAAATGCACGCTCATGGGCACCAGAAAACACGCAAAAGAGGATTCAGGAGGGTTCACAGAGGCAGTGCTTAAGTCAGTAAATGTTGTAAATGACCTAAAGGTCCAACAGGAGGATGGACACTTAGTTTGTGGTCAGGCCATACAGTGGACCGTTCTGTCGCACCGAGAGTAAAGGCGTTACAGAGCATGTAAAGGGCATGTACTCTAGAGCCAGGCTGCCTGGTTTCAAAACCTGGTTTTGACAATAAATAACTTGGGTAGAGTTATCCTCTTGTGTGAAAGAAGTTCAAAGAAACGTAGGCACGTTTAGGATTCTTTTCTGCCTCTTGTATGTATGTGCCATTCCACCCTTGCGTGTCCACACATACACGTGTGTGTGTGTGTCTGTCTGTCTGTCTCTCTCGTGCTCTAGCCCTCCCCTTCGCCCACCCCCTCACCTCCATTTAGGTTCCCTTGATTCACCCCCCCGCCCCCGCCACGGGCCATCCTCACTCTGGTCGTGGGAAGATGGTGAAGATGCTCCTGTGTGGATTGGGGGAGGTGGAGTCATAAACTTGGATACAGACACTGTGGCAGGGAACCCTCACCTTCAGGACCCTTGGCTCCTCTGGAGGAACCTGCGGGGACAGCAGGTGCTCAGCTGATGGCAGGGCCCCCTGAGGGGGCAGGGCTGGGGAGCCTGAAGCAGGGCCTCCCGGGAAGAAAGCCTGGCCACTGTGTGTGGGGGGGGGCTGCCCCTCCTCTCTGGGCAGACCTGGAGGCTGGACCATGAGGGAGAAGGCTAGGCTCGCCTCGTGCGGCCCCCCTCGGGCGTGGCGGCTCCTGGGGGGGGGTGCGCTGGTGCAAGGGGCCTGAGGTGGACGTGGTGGCGGCTGGCATCGCATTCTCACCACTCTACAGTGTAGGTGGGCTGAGCCCACAGGGAGGCGGGGGCTGCCGAGGGGCCTCCAGGAGCCAGGGGCAGGGTGCAGTGGCCCACTGGCTACTGGGGTCCGCGCTACCTCTGGGAGTTGTTGGCTGAGCTAGATGCGCCCCAAGGCCAGAGCTCGGGGGACCCCAGGGGAGGCGTGGCCCCTCTAGCTCCAAACCCTCCCACCAAGGCTCTGCCTCACCTCTTCATCCCTCTTCCTCTGCCTACTGGATTTTCCCCTTGTCTCCCCAGTGCAAGTCGGGTACATCCAAAGTCAGCTGGCCTTGGGAAATAGACCTCAAGTATCAAAGCCCATCATTTAGGTTCATCCCGCTCCTGGAATGTGGGTTCTGAGTAGAATCTGCATATATTCTTTCTTTTGGTGGTGGTGCGTGTCCAGGAGCGGGGTTTCTCTGTTCTCCCTGGACTGGGGGCTAGGGGAGCACTGGGGGCATCTTTCTACCAAGGTGTAGGCCCCTTGGAACATAAGGGCTGCCTGCTGGGGACACTGACGCTTGTATACCTGCTTCCTTTGGAGGCTACCGGTTGGGTTGGCTGGTGCTCAGGGGTAGAGTGAGCCCCTTGCCCAGGCGTCTTGGGGGAGGTTCCCCACGGGGCTCTGAGGCAGCACGTGAGAGGGATGGGCGAGTGGGCTGGGATCGTGGAGCCTCCTCTGCAGGGGGCCCCGGCTCTGTGAGTGTGGGCAGGAACCCTGTGTCTGTTAAAAGGCGGAGGCAGCCTTGTGGTTGGAGTGGTGCCAGAGGCTATAAATAGCTGAGTGTGTGCAGAAGCGGAGTGCCGGGGAGGAGGGGGAATCCCTCTCCAGCTGGCAGCAGAGCCTGGGTGTGGTGAGGGGGGCATGGAGTCTCCCAGTCTCCCCTGGTCCCCCTGGGGCTCTGAATGCAAAGCTCTCTCAGGTTGGGTATGCACACTCCCAGCCTGACAGGGCAGGGAGCTTGTGCTGTGATGAAATGGCATAGGCAGCAGGGCGTGTCAGGCTCTAATGTAACAGCCAATGTGCCAGGTATTGTGCTAACCAGCATTAAAATGCATTAACTCATCTCGCTCTTGGAACAGCCAAGGAAGTAGGTTCTGTTATCATCCCCTTTTCATGAGTGGGGAAACGGAGGCACGGGGTGGCTGGATCACTTGCCAGTAAGCATCAGAACCAGGACTTGAATGGGGTCATGGGCACCTTTTGTTTCCAGTTGGTCTGTAGGAGGATCTTGTCAGGTGGGGGTCCAGTGTCATCCTGACCACCTGGGTCCTGGCCACACGGTAGTGGCCAGAGGGGTCTCTGCCTGATCAGCAGCTTGGAGAGAGGAGCTGGGCCAGCCTTGGGCCATTCCTGATGTCTGCTGGCCTCTTGTTCAGGCTCCTTGCCTTATACAGGGGGTGGGGGCTTGTTGTCGGAGTGGAGATGGAAGCTCCCCTGAGGACCCTAGGGCTTGGGCTGCAGGCTGAGGCCACCCCTCCTGTTTTCCCCTCCCTTCAGAATCCTGCTGTAGCCAGGAGATAACTCTGTCCTTCTGTCTGATCGTTGGTCCTTCCTTCCTTCCATCCATCCATCCATCTATCCGGTCTGTGTCTGGAACTGGTTCTAGTACTCAAGACAGTCAAGGCTTCTGCAGTTAAAGCATCAGCTTTGCAGTCCTGTGGGGGAAGCCTGACATTTAAAAAGCAGTTGTCAAGCACATTTGTAATGATTTGTCTCTTTCTTTCTTTTTTTAAAAATTATTTCTTTTTTAAATTTTTGTCTGTGTTGGGTCTTCGTTGCTGTGTGTGGGCTCTCTCTAGCTGCGGCGAGCAGGGGCCACTCTTCGTTGTGCTGTGCGGGCTTCTCATCACGGTGGTCTCTCCCGTTGGGGAGCATGGTCCCCAGGTGCACAGGCTTCAGCAGTTGTGGCACGCAGGCTCAGCACTTGTGGCTCGCGGGCTCTAGAGCGCAGGCTCAGTAGTTGTGGCGCACAGGCTTAGTTGCTCAGCAGCATGTGGGATCTTCCCCGACCAGGGATCAAACCCGTGTACCCTGCATTGGCAGGCGGATTCCCAACCACTGCGCCACCAGCGAAGTCCCTGTTTTGTTTCTTACATGAGTGTTCATTATGTTATTTTCTCTGGGGAGTTATCTTTGGTTACATTATTTTTATACTTCTTGAATGTCTGAAATAATCCTTTAAACAACAACAGGCAGTTAGTCAAGGGTGATAAATTAGGTGATGGAGGAAGCACAAAGGCCTGTGGAAGTAGAGAGAAAAGAGCCAAAATATAAAGGAGAAAGTTGTGAGCATCTTGCAGCCAGAGGTGATAACTTGTGCTAAGCCCAGAAGCCCAGCTTGGGGGTCTGCCCCACAGGTCAAGTCTCCCGGGACCCCTACTAGAATTGCTGCTATGGATGCAGTGGGCCCCCTGAGCCCTCTGGACTGGGGGCTTTGCAGAGCACAGCCACCGAATGCTGCTGCAGGTGGGCAGGAGCCTGTGGGCATTGTCGGCACCAGCCTAGGCCCTGCGGCTGGTGCTCACTTAGCCTTTGGTCTCCGAGATCCACCCCATCCCCTCAGCCCTGTTTCTCACTAGTGGAGCTGCTCTGAGACAAGGCAGAGACAGCGGCAGGAACCTGCCCTTCTAGTTTCTCAGACGTGGTCCCTGAGGTCTGCATCAGAACCACCCGAGACAGAGGGGGTTGGTTAAAAACAGATCCAAGGACTTCCCTAGTGGCGCAGTGGTTAAGACTCCGTGCTCCCAATGCAGGGGGCCCGGGTTCGATCCTTGGTCAGGGAACTAGATCCCACATGCATGCCACAACTAAGAGTTCTCATGCCACAGCTAAGGAGGCTGCCTGCCACAACTAAGACCCGGCACAACCAAATAAATAAATTAAATGAATAAAATTAAAAAAAAAAAAACAACGTAGATCCTGCCCCCACTCCAAATGGATGGGTCTGGGCAGGGCCCAGGAATATGCATTCTTTAAAAAAAATTATTTGGTTGGGCAGGGTCTTAGTTGCGGCAGGCAGGCTCCTTAGTTGCAGCACGTGGGCTCCTTAGTTGTGGCATGTGAACTCTTGGTTGCGGCATGCATGTGGGATCTTGTTCCCTGACCAGGGATCGAACCAGGGCCCCCTGCACTGGGAGCACAGAGTCTTAGCCACTGAGCCACCAGGGACATCCCAGGGATATGTATTTTTAGCACCACCCTCCCGCCCCACCCAGATGACACAGTGATTCTGACCGTGCCCTGGGGTTTTGAGGGCCCCTCCATTCATTGCTGCTGCTGCAGGGAAGCAGCCCCCCTCCCACCCAGGAGCCCCCCACTGTGCATCTGGCTGTCAGTCTGCCCCCCTGCCTCCCTCGTGGGCCTGGGGCTACTTGGCAGCAGCTCTCTGCCCCGGGCACAGGTTCCGGTCGCGGGGAGGCCGAGACGCGGGAGTGCATCTACTACAACGCCAACTGGGAGCTAGAGCGCACCAACCAGAGCGGCCTGGAGCGCTGCGAGGGCGAGCAGGACAAGCGGCTGCACTGCTACGCCTCCTGGCGCAACAGCTCAGGCACCATCGAGCTCGTCAAGAAGGGCTGCTGGCTGGACGATTTCAACTGCTACGACAGGTGCCAGTGCCCCTGGGGCTGGGTGTCTGGAGCCGAGGCGGGGACACACGGGCTCTCGTGGCAGCCTTGGCGAGCAGGGGTGGTGCTGGGTCCCTGCCCCTGTTGCGAGGTCCCCAGGAGGGCTCTGGGTGCATGTCCACCCTCTGTTGTCCCTCCTCACCCTGGGTCCCGCTTTAGGAGAAGTGGGCTCACACTCCCCCTGCCCCCTGCCCCCTGCCTGGTTCCCTGTGGGGTTCTTTGTGGGGAGGGGTTTGGCTGGGCCGCCCCGGGGAGGCTGTCCCTCACCTGAGGAGTGGATGGGAAACTGTTCCTCCAGGCAGGAGTGCGTGGCCACCGAGGAGAACCCCCAGGTGTACTTCTGCTGCTGCGAAGGCAACTTCTGCAACGAGCGCTTCACCCACCTGCCCGAGGCGGGCGGCCCAGAAGGTGAGGGGAGGGGAGCGATGTGGGCCGGCCTTGGCCCCCCACCGAACGCTCAGCTCCTCTGTGGGGTGGGGAGTAGCCACAGGGCTCTTTGGTCTGGCCCTGGAGGTGTGCGGGTAGGCGGGCTGTGTGACGCCGGGCTCCATGTGTCCCCCAGTCACGTACGAGCCACCTCCGACAGCCCCTACCCTGCTCACTGTGCTGGCCTACTCGCTGCTGCCCATCGGGGGCCTCTCCCTCATTGTCCTGCTGGCCTTCTGGATGTACCGGCATCGCAAGCCCCCCTATGGCCACGTGGACATCCATGAGGTGAGATGGGGTTGGCTTGGGGCCGGGCAGGGTAGAGGTGGGGAGGCCAAGCCAGATCCTATTAAGCCCTCGATCCCCCCAGGATCCTGGACCTCCACCCCCATCCCCTCTGGTGGGTCTGAAGCCACTGCAGCTGCTGGAGATCAAGGCTCGGGGGCGCTTTGGCTGTGTTTGGAAGGCACAGCTCATGAATGACTTCGTGGCTGTCAAGATCTTCCCACTCCAGGTGAGTGTGTGCCTGTGGGTCCCAAGCTCTCTGCCCCAGGGCAGCCCACGTCCTGTACAGCTGGGATGAGAGAGGATTGGGCCCCATTGGGGGTGGTGACGTTCACCGTGGGCCTAGGGTAGGGCTTTGCAAAACTTTGATTTGCAAAACCTCAATCCAGTCTGGTTTTCAGGGTTTTGTTTTGCCATCAGGTTCTGCTTAGGGGCCGTAGACACCAGGCTACCCCGAGCAGTTGCCTGGGACACTTGGCAAAGCCAGGCCTGCTCTGCTTCTCACTGATTGGGTGGTCCTGGGCTCCTCACTTCTGTCTCTGGACCTCAGTGGCCCCCTTTGTAAATCAGGTGCTGGCCTTGGTGATCTCAGGGGTCACTGTTGGTCTGGGGTCCTGGGCCTGGCTCAGTCCTGCTCCACCTCCCTTACAGAGGCTGAGGTTGGGGTTAGTGGGAAGCTGCAGGGTGGCATGGCTGCGGTGAGGTTCAGCCGCATCCCTGCCTCAGGACAAGCAGTCATGGCAGAGTGAACGGGAGATCTTCAGCACACCTGGCATGAAGCATGAGAACCTGCTGCAGTTCATTGCCGCCGAGAAGCGAGGCTCAAACCTGGAGGTGGAGCTGTGGCTCATCACGGCCTTCCATGACAAGGTGGGCACACCCTGTGGACCCTGCTCCCACGGGAGGTGACCGTGGGCCCCACTGGCCTTCCCCTGAGGTCGCCCATCATGGGTGTGGACATGAGGGTCTGCAATAAGAACCCCTCGCCCTGGGATCAGTTCTTACGAATGGGAGTAGTGACTTCATGATTATCACTCTCTGACGACTCCCCCTTCCCAACCCCTCCTGGCCTCATGAATTCCAGCATCTGGGGGTCGGGGGTGGGAAGCCCAGCCAATGGTCCATGGAGATGGCCCTCCTGGGGCTGGGCTGGATCCTGTCCTCCTGTGCCCAGAGTCTGTGCTGTTCCCTCTAGGGCTCCCTCACGGATTACCTCAAGGGGAACATCATCACATGGAATGAACTGTGTCACGTGGCAGAGACAATGTCAAGAGGCCTCTCATACCTACACGAGGATGTGCCCTGGTGCCGTGGCGAGGGCCACAAACCGTCTATTGCCCACAGGTACCTGGGTTAGCAGTTGCCCTCTCTGCGCTTGACCTGGAGCTGCAGAGAGGGTTGGAGGGTGAGAGCAGGGCCTGGGGGTCTCAGTTTCATAAACGTGGTTCGCTGCTCTGTGGTGTGTCAGAGGCAACCGCACAAAACCCTGTGCCCACCTGACTCTTCCCCTGCCTTCTGCCTGCGTCCCCTGCAGGCTGTGGCCTCGCAAGTTAGTTCTCTGGTTCCCTCCAGTGGCCGCAGGAGGAAGTGCCGACTGCTGACTAACTGGAGAGTTGATTTAGCAGGTCTCAAACTTTTTGGTTAGGATCCCTTTACACTCCTGTGGGTTATGTCTGTTGATATTTGCTGTATTAGAGCACACATATTCCATTAACTGTCAGAGTGATGATATGTGTGTGTAGCCTCTGGATAACTCTATACTCTTGGGAGAATGAGCTTTAAAAAAGGCAAATAACGGATTATTATGAAAAGAATGCTGACCTTGCAGATCCCCTGAAACAGTCTCAGGGATTCACTGGGGTCCTTAGATGGTGCTTTGAGAGCCACTGTGCCACCTCCTCACCACAGTGGCAGGCACTGCTCTAAGCACTTAGAAACACCAAGTCATTTCAGCCTCATTACTGCCCTGTGAGATAGGTACTGTTTTTCTCTGCCTGTCTTACAGGTGAAGGAACAGTGGCGCAGAGAAGTAGACCTAGTGTAGTGTGGTTCTGTGGCTGTGAGGTAGGGAGTGAGCCTCGAATTCCAGAGTTCAAAGCTGAAGGGCCCCGATGGTAATAACATTAATGACATAGGAGGTTGACTGTATGAAATTGCCGTTGTTGTAGGTCAAAAACGGTTGACTGTCGACTCTTCCATATGGTTCCACCTAACGGTAGTGCATAGTAAGCGTGCCAGGGGTGGCCCTAAACATTCGTCCATCGGTTTAGCCCTCACGGCAAGGCTGAGACAGGCGCGGGGAGATTGAGGACCTGCTAGGGAGGGGCCAGGCTGAACGCAACCTCAGCACCCGCTCCGCTGCTCCCGTAGTGGCTCGAGCCTCGGGGGCCTGCTCGGAACCCAGGCCAGTTCACTGAAACTTCTCTTTTCACTCACGTCCCAAATAGTGTAAATTCTTCCCAGAAAACTCATATCCCTGGCTGCTATGCCCCCTCCTCAAGCCCTCTGAGAATGTGAGGGCTGGCCTTCGATGCTGGGCACCGGGCTGGGGTCAGTGTTGCCGCTCTGGCGGGAGTGCAGTTCTGGACTCTCACACCAGTGGAGGGAGGCGTCCTAAGGCTGCCTGTCCGTGTGGCTTCATGGAACTCCACCCTGACGCAGACCCTGCTCCCCACGGGGATGGCCTGGCCTGGGGTCTCTGGGAATCAAGGTGGGAAGCCAGGAGGAGGGTCAGTTGGACCACATGTTCGACTCTGTCTCAGTCCATTGTCTCCACAGGGACTTTAAGAGCAAGAATGTATTGCTGAAGAGTGACCTCACGGCCGTGCTGGCTGACTTTGGCCTGGCTGTTCGGTTTGAGCCAGGGAAACCTCCGGGGGACACTCATGGGCAGGTGACGAGCCTCAGGGGGTGCGAGACGTGGGGGCACGGGTGGACGCTGCCCCCCCAGCTGGCAGGGGGCAGGGGTTGCCCCGCGAGCTCAGAGCTGTCTGAGAACTCCAGGAGCAATGCTCTCATTTCACCCGTGGGGAGAGCGAGGCCTGGAGGGTGGTGTGGTTTCCCAGGCCAGCCAGTGAGAAACAGATTTCCCTTCCTCTTTCAGTTGTAATTATTAAACAAGATAAAAATAAGATAAATAAGAGTATACTAAGAATCCAAACCAGAAACCTAGAAAAAGTAACCTAAGGTTAAGCCTAAGCAAATCATCCTAAAACAACGGCTATTACTGTTTTTAAGTATTCTCCCCCTCCTGCTTTTGGCGTGCGTCTCAGTGAAGTACATGTCATCTGTGTAGCCCCTCGTGGTGCTGATGGAGGCAGCAGTTCATGGAAGATTACTGCTGTCTCGAATGACACTTTACAGTCGTCATTACTTCATGACCCCGGGGCCCCCCGGGGATGTGGTGCGTCAGGGACGGCCGTCATTGTTGATGGCCCTGCTGTGCACACGGCTGTAGCTCCTGTGTCCAGCTGTGAGTGCATTTGTGCGTGGTTGGTGACCGCAGACCCTCCCCTGTCCCCGTGCAGGTGGGCACACGGCGGTACATGGCCCCTGAGGTGCTCGAGGGAGCCATCAACTTCCAGAGAGACGCCTTTTTGCGCATCGACATGTATGCCATGGGCCTGGTGCTGTGGGAGCTCGTGTCCCGCTGCAAAGCTGCCGATGGTGAGCGGGACGGGAGCCCTGAGCATTCTGGGTGTGTGGGGGTGTGTGGCTGGGCGTTAGGGTGACCCCGCCGGGCTCTCTCTCCACCCCCAGGACCTGTGGACGAGTACATGCTGCCTTTTGAGGAAGAGATTGGCCAGCACCCTTCACTGGAGGAGCTGCAGGAGGTGGTCGTGCACAAGAAGATGCGGCCTGCCATCAAGGATCACTGGCTGAAACACCCGGTGAGGGGCCTGGGGGGCAGAGAGGGCAGCCCCTCCCATGTGTGGCAGGGTCAGAGAGAGGGGCCTCAGGCAGCGGGACAGCCCCTCCGCCCCTGCCTGGTCAGAGGCCACTTGGTGCAGTGCCTCCCTTCCACCAGGGGAGCGTCTGGGGAGGTTAGTGCTCTGCAGGGAGGCGGCTCTGGTTTTGGCCACAGAGAGCGATGGGGTCTGACAGCTCTGTCAGAGCCCTGGTTGCCCCGTGGAGCACTGGTGCAGTGGAGCCCACTGGCCCTGGGCCTGACACATGTTGGTTGGAATCCTGGATCTGCCGGTCAGTAGCTGGGTAACTTCCGGCAAATTGCTTTATGTCTCTGAGCCTTTGTTCCCTCAGGGTAGTAATAGATTGAAGGAGTTACTGTACATCCCCAGGCAGGACACCTATCACATAAGTGCTTAATATGGCTTAGCTCTGTGGCATCTGGGCCCCTCCAGTCTGGAGATACCATACAAAAGACCCCAGCTATGGGCTTCCCTGGTGGCGCAGTGGTTGAGAGTCCGCCTGCCGATGCAGGGGACACGGGTTCATGCCCCCGTCCAGGAAGATCCCACATGCCGCGGAGTGGCTGGGCCCGTGAGCCATGGCCGCTGAGCCTGCACGTCCGGAGCCTGTGCTCCGCAACGGGAGAGGCCACAACAGCAAGAGGCCCGCGTACCGCAAAAAAAAAAAAAAGACCCCAGCTATGTAAATCATTATCTTTCTTGGAAGGATATTTGCCTCCAGCTTCATTGAGTCCTTTCCCCTGCTACCCCAGGGTTAATTCAGAAGAGGGACATCCTTGGGGCCAGTGGGAGCTAGCGCTCTCACCATATGGTCTGGGGTCGAGCTGTGGAGGCCAAGTTGAGCTGCCATGCTGCTCCCTGGAGCCCAGAGCCGCAAATGGAAAAATCTTAGGCATCAGGAGAGGGAAGCTGGGCCAGGAACTTACATTCTGCCTCAGACCTCCTCAGTCTCCCAGGGCAGAGAAACTGGGGTTGCCAGTCCAGTTTCCTGATGAGGAGCAGATCCAGAGAGGTCTGAGTGTGTCCTGGTGCTGAGCAGGCTGGATTGCTCCTGGGTGTGGGCATTTTGCCCATCCTGCTGCCTTTCCCAGCTGCACACAGTTGGTTCCAGCACAGGGTGTCACTCCACGTTCTCTGGACTCTGGGGAGGTGTCCAGGGCTATGGGGGACAGGGTGGGATGAAGCCTTCCTCTTTTCCCACCGTGACTGCACTTTGGGCCCTTATGTGGTTTGGGCTTGGCGTAATAAGATTTTGTTTGAATATCACTGCTCCGCGGCAGCAGCCATGTCTGCCCCCGGAGGGCCCTGGGTTGCCCTGCTTCCCACGTTGAGGTTCAGTGGACCCTTCGTCAGCGCTGTGGAGGAGGCCCGTGGCCTCAGGCTGGTGACTGTCGGAAGGGGAGTCTCCTTCAGACCCCTGCAGGTGGGCTCGTGGCTCTCCCTGGTCCTCAGGAACATCGTCAGGTTTGCTTGTCCTCAGTGAGGGCCACCGGCAAGGGCATCTGTTTCCTCTCTCCCGCTGGTGTGCAGGGCCTGGCCCAGCTCTGCGTGACCATCGAGGAGTGCTGGGACCACGACGCAGAAGCTCGTCTGTCCGCGGGCTGTGTGGAGGAGCGGGTGTCCCTGATCCGGAGGTCTGTCAATGGCACTACCTCGGACTGTCTTGTCTCCCTGGTGACCTCCGTCACCAATGTGGACCTGCCCCCGAAGGAGTCGAGCATCTAAGCCCAGGACATGAGTGGATCTCCAGACTCAGTGGATCTGAAGAGGAAAGGAAGAAAACAAAGTAGTGTTTTGTTTTGGAAATCCTGTAACACCAACAAACACGCAAAATGCAGCTGCTACTTTACCTTGACTTCTATTATTATTATAATTATTATTATTATTATTATTAATATTATTTTTTGGATTGGATCAGTTTTTACCAGCACATTGCTCTACTGTATCGCAAACAGTGGACACGTCAGCAGGCGTTGAGGTGCTGAGCTGTGAATGCAGAACCAGCGCCGTGCTGAAGAGCCTCGGCCACCTCCCGCCCTTCGGGGTTCATTTTTCCCTCTTTCTCTTTGTTTGTTGTCTCAGAATCTGTGACACAAAGAAACCCATCTCCTGTCTTAGGAAACTTAATGCTGCAAACTCTACCTAGAGGAACCTTTGAAGACTGTTACATAAGAACACATCTTCCTCAAAAGAGGAGTTTCCCTCTGCCCTCGTCCAGCCCCCCGCCTTTTACTGTGTTTTTCTCCCTTTTTCGACAGTGAGTATAAGAAACAGCAGATGTGTCCTTCACGGGTTACCGGGTGCTGTCCTGACCGAGGGAAGCGGGGCTGAGGATGAGGATGGTTTGGACCGGAGTTGGAGGGGAGGACAGAGCTGGGGGTGGGGTTTGGTGCAGAGCTACACTGGACCCGGGCACATTCGGAGCAACGTCCTTTGCTATGAGACTACTTCTCAGGTAACCAGGAATCGAGGGGAAGGAGTGTGTGGAGGCCAAGCGTTAACGGCAAGAGCAGGGTTTGGAGAAAGTCTGAAATCAGGTGTGGCTCTGACCCATCTGTTGGCCCTGACCAGTTTTTTCCACTCACTTGGGCTTGGGCATAGGACAAAACATTTTTTCTGCCCTGATTTTAAGGTTAGGTAAGGGTATAAATCATCACGGTTTAGTGAGTACATTCTTCATAAGACATGATACTGTAAATATCTTTAATGAGGAAAAGTTGAAATATGTACATTGCTTCCTCCTGGAGCAGTTCAGGGAAATGGCCACAGGGGGCGCTCTGCACAGCCAGGGCGGGAGAGTTTCCTGGGTTGGGCCTGCCAAGAAGGCCTGGCCCTCTGGAGACCCCCGGAGTCCTGCAGTGCTGGCTCTGCCCTGTGTGGTGACGTTATTGTCCCTTTCTGTGGCTCGTGAACACAGCTTTCTCCAGACCCTTTAAAGAGGTGCATATTCGAAAAACAGTTTCTCTGTTTTGCCATAACCTTGCTCTCGTCAGTGAATGTTCCTAATGCTGCTGTTTCAACATTTGAATTTTTTTAATTTATGAAACATGCAAATTTTTTAAAAAAACAAAACACACACATACATGCTTTGCTATGTGGCTTCCGAGGTTTAAATTTTGAAGAGTAAGAGAATTAAAACTTCACGACCACAGACCACCTCAAACCAGAAATACCTCAGAATTTTCTACTTGTGTAAGTTTTATTATATATTTTATTAGTTGTGTTGTCTTGTAGTAAGTATACTTTAATGTAAGTTGGCTTTTATGACAAGAAAGTTTAAAAGAAATAGAGAAAAAGAAGAAAAGTTGTGAGTCTTCTAGGGAGTGCTACCATTTTTCTTTGATAACGCCCCCTTGTAAATAATTGTCATCAACTGTAGGTTGGCTGTCTGGGCCGAGTCTGGGCATTCATCACTCTTATTTGTGAAGACTTTTCCTTCCCGTTTCTTTAGACCATTTTATTTAAAAACTGGATCTCTTCACCTTGCGGGTAGGCGAGTTGGTGGACGATGGGGAGAGGTTGACTGGCATGAGAAGGGGAGGGGGGAGCCTCCTCCTGAGTTATTTGGAAGTTCAAGTGTTTCCCTCGACTTGATTGGTCATTGTGCAGGATGACAGGTGACCCCACTTTAACTTGGCAAAACTGTAGCCTTTAGACCCACGTGAGGTAATTTTACTCGAGACTTAATTTCTTAAGCACATTGGCAGCAGTGATAGCGGAATTGAGCTGTAGGCCTCTGGGTCCACACTGCTCAGGGCCGGTCTGTGACGGCACGGCTTGGTGGTGAGGGCTCAGTGCACCGCCACGCGGGGGTTCTGGGCCCCTGGGCCGTGTCCTCCTCTGCGTGTTTGGGCACGGGGTGTGGTAGGAGACGAGTTTGCTTCCCTCTCAGAGCTCAGTTTTTGCTTCATGGGTCAAAATGTGGGCTGGCCAAGGTGGCCACAGAGACAGGTTTTTGTTTTTGTTTTTTGGTAAGTTATTTGTCTTCTGACTTTTCCTTTTTAAGCTATTTTTTGCTGTGGTATTTTTCTTCCCTCGGAATAATTTTTAACAGAAAAACAGGCCTTACAGCAGTTGCTTTTCTTTTCCACTTATGTCTTTCAGAAGCTTTAAAATATTTATTGAAAAGTGCCATATCTGATTTCTCCAGCTTTCTCCTTAGGCAGGGCTGGGAGTCTCTACTTTTCAACCCTCAGAAGAAACGAATAGAATAAACCAGTAACAAATGTAGCTAATTTACCATAGGAATGATTAGATCCCTGATCCCAGCCCGTGTGGAACACTAAACCCCAGCCTCTGTTTGGTTTTAGATTTCCTCTGGGCAGTTTTTCTTTTGTGTGCTGGCTTGATTCTTCTGGGAGCACGTTTTGGCCCTGCTGTGGGACCTGCGGGGCAGGATGCAGGACGGACAGGGCAGGCCTTTTGTCTGGGGACGCTCCCTCTTTGCTGACCCAGTGCTCAGCCACTGTCACTCCCTTTGGGGCCTTGGCACCAGAATGAAGTGTCCAGAGATGGCCCCATGTGGTGTGGCCGGGCAGAAGGCTTCCGGCGGCCCTTTCCCCGTGTGCTAGGCTGAGTGTCCCTGACTGCTCGTGGCCAGGAGAAGGTGGGCATCTCTCTCCCGGGCATGCTGCTGGGGCCTGGGTGGGTCTTCCGCCTCTGATAAAGTTAGGTTTACTGTCATGTCTTCTTCTGCGGGGAGTCAGCCATCCAGAGCTCTGATTTGTGTCGATGGGGTTGGGGGCCTCTGCCTGTGCTCTTCTTCACAAAGATTTCTTGTAGCCTCCACTTCCGGTGATCTCAGATCACTGCTACCTTCTCCCCCCTGCCCCCCCCCCCCCCCGCCACTGCCAAGCTCTGTGGAAGACGGGGTGGGGGGGCAGGGAGGGAGTCTGACATTGCTTTCCCTGCCTCATCCAGGGTGAGAGGGTGGCCAAGTCAGGGGACAGAAGTGGCCCAGGATCCCTGCCCCTTTCTTCCTAGTGTACTGTCGTCCGGGCAGGCTTCTGGCTGTGGGGTGGACTTGGGGGAGAGTGTGTTCTTTTTGATCACTGTGGGGAGATCTCCTGAGCCAGAGAGATCCATGGGAGGGAGCAGACACGTGGGGACAGAGGCCACCATGCCACAGTGTCCTGCAGAGGACTCTTCATGACGGGCAGCCAGAGAAGGCCATGGATGTAGTCGTTAGCTCATGCTGGGGCTGGCATAAGCTGGGCTTTTGCCTGGGGCCGTTGGTCCCTATCAGGAGTCCTTTGGTTGATTACTTGGGGTGTGAGGGCTGAGAATGGACCCTTCTTAGGAGAAAGCGAGACCCAGCTGTGCATAAATGTGGTGAGCGCCATCAGCCTGGTGTTCAGATGGCCTTCCTGTCCTGTTGGCTTTCAGTAGGTGCCCGGAGGGGTCAGTCCTGCTGGGGAGGCTTCCCCGTGTGTGCCAGCTGCTTCTGACTCAGGATTCACTCTGTCTGGATGTGGTGGCATGTGTCCAGAACACGAAGGACCTTGTCCAGCCTTGAACATCCTCAGGATTCTTGAGCCCCCAGCTCACATGTTCTCAGCCAAGGGAAAGATCTGCCATCTCCAGGCCACTGAGGTGGTCCTTCCCCTGCCCCTGGGGCCAGGCTAATCCTCCTGTCATGCTTTAGGGAGCTGAGCAGGTGACCCTGCAGTTCTGTGTCCCCTTTCTCTCCAGTTGGCCACGTTCTTGGTGGCTGCTGCCCTGCCCTTCTGCACTGGGTGCTTGGGTTGCATGTGTGGTGTTTCCTTGGTGGCAAGCCCAGCCGTGTACTGAGGGTCCACCATGTGCTATGTGTGGCGCAGAAAGCCCATCACGTGGCCCCTGTGCTCTGAGCCATGAGGGCAGGGAGGCAGCTGTTCCATCCAGGGTGGGAGGACTAGATGACCCTCTTGCAAATGGAATTCTGCCTCTTTTTAGAATGCAATGTGAAGTTCCCCACATCTATTGGTGATACAAGGATTTGATGTTTTTTTAGTAATATAGTGAGCGTATGTATGTAAGTTTTTACAAGTGGTACTAGAAGTTGAACAGCCAGGCATTATTCCGGAGAACTTGGCTCCCTAGAAAAATATCTAAATTGGAAAGCATTTTTCAGGAGAACTCAGTTTACTCAGTCTGTCAGTCCCAGCTATTTCAATGGCCTGTTGGGTTCTGAATCTTTGGAGAGACAGCCAGCCCTGCCTGGTTCACAGTTCGGGGGCCCTCAGACCACATTTTTCCAAGAAGCACAGGGAATTGACTCTCTACACTCCCCCTCCCCCTCCCCCAAGCAGCCAGAAAAGGAAAGAGGACAAGATGGCTTTTTCTCCTCTTTTGGGTGATTTGAATTCTCCTAGGTCGATGGCTGTTCACAAAACCTGAACTAATAAAATGCTCAGCAGCTAATGTGTTCAGCCTAGTAATGATGAGTTTAAGTCTCAATCAGGAGTAATGTTTTAGGCAAAGAAACGGACCCAGTAATTCAGTTGATGAACTGTTTGTTTATTTTCTCAGTCTAGATTTGTAAACAGTGTATTCAGGGTTATAGGCATAGTTCTTTAAGTAATACTCCTGACAGTTAATTTGTAACCAGCAATTCACGTATGAACGTATCCCAGACCTTTAGGAGGCTTGGGGAAGTTTTAAAAGATGATTTTAGTTTTGTAGCAAAAAGAAATTGAAGCTTAAAATGCACCCTCTCCCTTGGAAATTAATTTATTTGACTCAGCCACACTTTAAAAACAATTACATCCGGCCCTCTGTATCCACGGGTTCCTCATTCGTGGGTTCAACCAACCTCGGATCAAAAATATTTTGGGGGGAAAAATTACAGAATATTCCAAAAATCAAAACTTTAATTTGCCACCTACTGGCAACTCTTTACATAGTATTTACATTGTATTTACAACTATTTACATAGTATTTATATTGTGTTTGGTATTATAAGTAATCTAGAGGTGATTTCAAGTATAGGGGAGGATCTGTGGAGGTTATATGCAAATGCTACACCATTTTATGTAAGAGGCCTCTGCCTCAGTGGGTTTTGGATTCCCATCCCCCTGCCACACTCCTCCCCCATACAGAGGGACGACTGTAGTGGGTCCAGGAGACCTATACATTATCATCAAGTAAAAGTCCAAATTATCTAGTGGGGTATTTTGAATATTCCTATTTTAAACTCATTTTGGGTCCACTGTAAACTTTGGTTTGGACAAGATTTTGAATTTAAAGGATTTACCACTATTTAAATTTTTACAATTTTTACCAAGCCTTTACATTTTTGTGATGGTATCTTCCAGGTATGAATGAAGCAGGACTTTTTGATTGTGGTTACTCTATGTATCCCTGTAGTGCCAAAACCAGTGATATATTATTTGCTCCTATGGCAGCTCGTAGCGATAACACAAGTGTTTTTTCCTCATGAATTAAAATGCATATTCTCTAAACGCCAGCATGTGGAGATGGGCCCTGTGCTGCCCTTTCTTCTCCAGGAGTGTCTTTGGATTGTCTGGGGCCTAGACAATTCTGAGAACTACTGCAAGCCAGTTACAGGACACTAAAGAAATATACACACGGACACGTGTGTATGCAGTGGATTCTACAAACGTGGTTTCTTGTGGACATCTACAGAAAAGCGTTTCATTCATTTGCAAAGTTTACATTTTTAAGCTGACGGTTATAAAAAATACAGCGCATTAGCTAATGCTTTTCAGGCAGGTGAGGATGGGTTTTTTGCAAATGGATGAGTTCCGTCTTGAGTCCTGGGAATTTCTGCTGTTGGTTGGGCGTGGGCTCGTTCCCTGATTCTCCGAATCCCGTTTGCATTGGAATGTTGTTAGGTAGCATTGTAAATAAAAGTATAGGTTATATAATAGAGTTACAGCACTTGAAATTTTACTTTAAAAAATCTATAGCACTACATATATATTTAGTTATATCACCTGACAGATTTCTTCTGCACAGTGTGGAGATTGTTTTATACCACAGATTATTTTTATAAAGTCTAGTGAGTTTCGAATAAGAATGATTCTCTAATCAGAGTAATGAGCTTTACCTTTCAAGATAAACATACACTGGAGTGTAAGTGGTGTGGCGCTGTCACTTAGCGCTCCTGCGGATTCTCGTTGATACACTGGCAGATTACAGACCATCTTTGGGTCTCGTTTGACCAAAACTCCACTCGTGGCTGTCTGTGTGGGACAGTCTGTGCAGGACAGGGGTGCTCAGCCCTGCTCCTTGCAGACCTGGAGGAGAGGGGCTTGGAGAGGCAAGTGGAGCCTGCAGTGTGCTTCACAGTCGTGCTTCCTCCTGAGGTTTCTTTTGAACAAAGGGTTCTGAGGTGAATAATTAGTTTCTAAGTTACTCTCATGGGTGAAGTAGTATGAAGGTGTTTTGGGGAACAGAAATTGCATGGGTGCAGGTTGGGGTGGGTTGGGGTTAGAATAAGATTCAGGCTACGAACATGTGAAAAGAGGATTTGGTGATTGGAGAAATCTGCCAAACTGAATTATCTAGGACCAAATTATCCAGTTTTCAGGACAGAATTCCCAATGGAGTAATTATTCGGAAAGGGGGAGGGTGGTGTGTGGACATAGTGATCAGATTATACGGAGAGCTGCCAGACACATGTTATCTTCTCTGTGAGGGCTGTTTGGAGGCGAGAGGGGCTGCGTTGGCTCGCCACTTTAGTCTAGCGAGTAACCCAGGAGCCTGTGGAGGAGGCTCAGAATCCTGTACCAGCAGGGCATTTTTCCAGTATCTACAAGGTTTTCCTGCTCTTCCTACAAAGGTCAGCATCACTGCCATAATCTGGAAGGCAGTCTTCATGTTAGCCTTTTGATTTTTTGGGTAGAGAGTGGATGGTTACTGGGTAATAAGCCTTTTTGTTGGGGATGTATAGGAAGTATACATCATGTATACTCATCTATACTCAAGTATAGAGTCATGTAGCTCATACTCTGTAGCCGTAATGGCTGAAGGCCTGTTCCCCAGCCCCTGCCTGCTGGCTTCAGCTGCTGCGTTCGGAGGTGTTCTGGTTGGGACAAAATTGTCAGGAGAGTCCCTAATGTGTCATGTGAAACCAGCTGTGCTTTTATTCGGTCTGATCGAGAGTAAAGTTTTACGCTATCCCTTTTATACTTGAATGAATTGAGTTTCGGCAGATCCAGGAGCACTCTGGGAACCAACCATCCGTCATTTTCCTGTTCCCCATCAAAGAACATTTCTCTGCTCTCCAGCCACGTCTTGGAATGTAATTCTGTTGTGCCTTTGTTTTTGTCACCTGCCTCCCCCCAAAAGCAACTGCTGTAAGCTTTTTTCTACTTGTCTTTTCTAGCCCGAAACCCCAGCTTTTTCCTTTTTCCCAGCTGTATTTTCTGGATGCAGTTCTGTGCTCCAGGTGTGTTAAGAACCAGTTACCTCAGACCTTGTGTTGAACAGTGTCACCATCTGGGTCCTCTCGAAACTGCAGGCTTGTGACATACACACGCAGGAACCCTGCCGAGTATGGGTACTTATTTGTTTTAAAGTAAAACTCTTCCCAAGGATTGCAAAAGGGGCTTCTGGCAAGCTCTTCATGGCCCTGCGGTGGGATGGGTCTTGAGTGCCATCTGAAGGGTGCTTTCCGCGCTCCACTTTGAATTCTGCCATTTTCAGTATTCTGCTGTCTGAATAGGCAGAGTGATTCAACTGGTTGGCCTTGTACACAAATGAGTTCCGAAAATGAGCTCTTTGTAACACATTTCCAGTCAATAAAGCTCAAATGAAGAACATTCCCTTAGATGGCAGGATTGAAAACCCCCGCCCCCTATCCACCACAGTGCATTTCGG